TCCCTCCCTCCCTCCCTCCCTCCCTCCCTCCCTCCCTCCCTCCCTCCCTCCCTCCCTCTCTCTCTCTCTCTCTCTCTCTCTCTCTCTCTCTCTCTCTCTCTCTCTCTCTCTCTCTCTCTCTCTCCCTCTCTCTCTCTGTGCAGCTGCTCACGCTGCCATTCGTGCAGGTGCCCGACACGCCCAGGGATGCCCGCTTCGCAGCCTTCGTCGCCCCCTAGCGCATCGCCTCCCGCGTCTCCCACCCCATCCCTCACCATGTCGCCCACCACATTGCCTCGCGCCCCCCACCACCTCCACAGCAAACTCCCACCTTCCTTCCCCTCCGCACGTGCTGCAAGGCTCGTGCCGTTCGCCACCACTGCCAGCTGTGCCAAGTGCAGGGCACCTCCATGAATGAAGCTCTTACGGTACCTGTGCGTATTTATGCATGCCCCCCTTCTGACTGCGTCTGCTGCACCCTTCCCCCTAACATGTGATTAGCAGCAGGGATAGGCTTGGGCGAAAAATGATTGAGCAGACAGCAATATTTAATTGGTAGAGTACACTTCAGATGGACAAACTACCAAATCAACATGTAAAAGGGTATTCAATTGAAACTATAATTTTTAAACACATTGGTGTTTTTCAAAAATGTGTTTTGTGGAAGCGAAGCTGCCTGTACCGAATATTTGGCATCGTCGAAGCGCGCTAAACGCCCTTCTCCAACTACAAAAACCGTAGGTTGGAGTTCATTCCCTCGACACAAGTTTCTCGTTTTCCAACGGCTCGATCAACGTCCCCACCATCACCCCGGACCAACCACCAGACCACGGCTGCTTGGACGGACAACTGGATCGCTAGTAATATTTGCATGTACTAGCATGTGTTTAACAACGAAGGATATGTTGTAATAAGCCAATTGCAATGAGAACAATGTCAAATTATAAGGACAAGATAGCAAGCTTTCTCAATAGATACGGTACAAAAATATGGTGTACTGCCGTCTCCGATGCTGGACTTGAAGCCCAAAATGTATAGTTGTCAAAAGAACTACGGTAGCAGGAATGAGTTGCATTGCACGAAACGTGGGTACAAGTACTAACCCTAACTTTGGGTTGTACCCCATATGGGCTACCCCACTATAGCCTATATAGAACTAGCACATATAGTTTGACACACCCCCATAGACAAAGTTGTCAAATTATATATGTAACATATATGTGTAGGCTGTAGTGGGGTAGCCAATATCGAGTACAGCCCGAATTAGGGTTTGCTATATGTACTCAACTACCTGCTAGTGAAAACCCCTCTCTCTCTCGTGTTTCTCATTCCTGCCTAGTCATTTTTTTTAGGGCCCACCACCTACTGCCCGCAGTTACCGTGCTACCCCACGCCCTGCCTGAGCCTCCCTGCCTTGCCTGCCTGTCGCGCTGCCCCGCAGCCCCGCGCGCCGCCCGTCGCGCTGCCCTGCAGCCCCGCGCGCGCCCTGCCCTTGCCCGTCGCGCTGCCCCGCAGCCCCGCGCGCCACCCGTTCCGCTGCCCCGCAGCCCCGCGCGCGCCTTGCCAGCCCGTCGCGCTGCCCCGCAGCCCCGCGCGCCGCCCGTCCCGCTGCCCCGCAGCCCCGCGTGCGCCCTGCCAGCCCGTCGCGCTGCCCCGCAGCCCCGCGCGCCGCCCGTCCCACTGCCCCGCAGCCCCGCGCGCGCCTTGCCAGCCCGTCGCGCTGCCCTGCAGCCCCACGCGCCGCCCGTCGCGCTGCCCGTCGCGCTGCCCCGCAGCCCCGCGCGCCGCCAGCCCTAGTGCCGCGGCCGCCTGCCCCACCCGTGCGCTGCTACAGCTGCTAGCGCATTGCCCCACCCACGCGCACCTTACGGCTGCTTTGCGCGCCGCCCTTGCCTGCTGCCCTTGCCTGCTGTTTATGCCTGCTGCCTCTGTCTACTGCCTTTGCCTGCTGCCTTTGCCTGCGCTGCGAGCATGGCGACGCTTAATGTTCTCGCTTTTGAACCTAACGGCCGCCCTATTGAGTTTGCCACTTGGCTCGACGACCTGCAACTGTTTCTTATGACTGATGCAAAAGACGGCGTTTCACTGTTCGATCACGCGTCTGGCACTGCCGTTGCTCCTGCTGACACTGCTCCCACTCTTGACCGCTCACAATGGCAGACTCGCGATGCTGCTACGCGCCTCGCTATTCGCAACCATTTGCCGATCACTGAGCGCGCGCATTTTAGCCAGCACAAGACTGGTAAGGCACTGTATAACGCTGTAGTTGCGCGTTATTCGTCCCCAGCCACTGCAGCTGTCGGTCGTCTCATCCTGCCCTACCTGTTCCCAGACCTGTCCTCGTTTGCCACCGCTGAGGACCTTATCTCTCACCTCCGCACTAGTGATGCCCGCTTTCGTGCCGCCCTCCCAGACGATTTTCTTGCCTAGAACCCCCCCCCGTTGTACTTTACCCTCTACATCCTCGTCACCCGCCTCCCTGACGCTCTCAGTTCGGTCAGAGACCACTTCCTCGCCAAAGACCCTACCACTCTCACTCTAGCCGACTTCGAGCAGCAGCTCCTAGCAGCAGAAAAGAACATCCTCGCTGTAGGTGCTGCTCGTGGCACTCCTCGCACTCCCCTCTTTGAGGGGTGCTCCCCCTCCCCCCTTGCCCCCTCCTACGCCTCTGCTGCTGCTGCCGTCGACCTCCTCGGTGCTGAGAAGGTCGCAGCTGCTTCTGCTCCTAGTGGGAGGCGCAGCGGCAAGGGCGGCAAGGGTGGCAAACGTGGTGGAGGTGGCGGTGGAGGGGGCGGTGGTGGAGGCGGCGGGGGTGGTGGAGGTGGTGGGGGTGGTCGTGGGGGTGGAGGAGGTGGGTGGGGCGGTGGTGGGACCGAGAGCGGTGGAGGGGGGCAGCGGCGGTGGTGGGGGGGGGCGGTGGCAGCGGTGGTGGTGGCGGGGGTGGAGGCCAGGGGCAGCAGCAGCAGCAGCAGCAGCAGCAGCAGCCGCAGCAGCAGCAGCAGCGTCAGCGCCAGACCCCCACGTCTCAGCAGCTTCATGACTGGTACGCTCAGCGTGGGGCGTCTGGGGGTCCTGGTCTGCCCCTATGTCATTCGTGCCGGTCCCCGCGCTGGTCGTCCATGCAATGGTTTTCACAATGAGTGCTGCTGCTTCGCTAGGCTTAGCGACGCCTGGCGTGCCAGGTTTCCTGATGCTACTGAGTTCCCCAACTGGGCAGACCTGCTTAGGCGTGATGTTCCTATCTTTGATCTTGACTATGATGCGATTCTTGCTGCCATGTATGCATTGACTATTAGTGCTGAGGGTGACTGCTACTTGTGTGTCCCGCCTGACCCAGGTATAGAGACTGCAGCCCTAGGTGCTAGTGAGTCTGCTCTCTCAGGTACTGCGCCTGCTGAGGCTTTGCACACCTTCACGCTTGACTCAGGTGCTTCCCGCTGTTTCTTTCGCGACAGCACCACAGTCACTCCCCTCCCTGCACCTGTCCCTGTCTCACTGGCTGACCCCTCTGGGGGCCCAGTGCTTGCACGGTCCAGTACTGTGCTCCCGTGTCCGGCGGTCCCGTCCGGTGAGCTGTCAGGTCTCCACATCCCCTCGTTCTCTACGAACCTGGTGAGCAATGCCGTCCTTCAGGATCATTGGGTTGACACCTTTACTCCTGGAGGACAGCGTGTGGCGATCTGTACGTGCTCTCAGACTGGCCGCCACCTGGCCACGTTCACACGTGCGCCAGGGTCCAGTCTGTACACCCTCACCACTGTGTCGCGCTACACCTCTGTTTCTCCTCAGCTGTACGCGTCTGCTCAGGTAGCTACCCAGTGTGAGTGTCGCCGCCTGTCGCACCAGACTCTCCTTTGGCACCACCGCCTTGGTCACCCCTCCCTGCCTCGCCTTCGTGGCATGCACTCTCGCCTTCTGGTCTCTGGTCTTCCCAGGTCTCTGCCCGCCCTCCCTCCCTCGCCTGCCCCGCCCTGCATTCCTTGCGTCGAGGGGCGGCAGCGCGCCGCTCCTCACTCCTCCTCGTTCCCTCCCACAGAGGCTCCACTGCAGACTCTCCACCTGGACGTGTGGGGCCCAGCCCGCGTCCAGGGGCAGGGCCGCGAGCGGTACTTCCTGCTGGTCGTCGACGACTACACGCGTTACACCACGGTCTTCCCCTTGCGCAGCAAGGGTGAGGTCCCTGATGTTCTGATCCCCTGGATCCGCGCTGCTCGTCTCCAGCTCCGCGAGCGGTTCCAGTCGGACTTTCCTGTCCTCCACTTTGGCTATGGGGGTGTGTCAGAATGTTATGATCTAGCCTGTAGTGGGGTGCTCTATAGCGAGTACAACCCATCTAGGGTTTGCTATATGTATCCTCATTGCTGCTAGTGAAACCCCTCTTTGCCTAAACTCTCTCTTGCCTAGCTAGGGTTTTCCTAGCTATGGCTCCTCATTCTACCTACTACTCTCACAAATAGCACGAAACGATGAAGTATTTCCGGAGTTATGAGTTCCGGCGCATTAGGGGGTATGTTTTGGCTAAAACTTAACTCAGTCACAACTGTTCAAGAAAAGGTGCAGACAAGAAAGGTAGAGTAGCTAAAAACCAGGTGGGAGGGGATGAGGAGGACGAGAGGGAAGGTCCCAAGGGAGTCCCCAAACAAGTAAACCCCATAAGCCCAAAAGATTCCCTCTCTATAGGAACCCCAACCTTGACCTTTGTCATTTTCCAACCCATGCAATCCACCTCACCCCAACTTGGCCACACTTGCCAACCTGGTTTGGCTTCTCCCAACCACTTGGCATCAACTACAATAGAAGTGACAAATTTCCCAACCCCAAAAGTCTATACCCCATATAGAGTCACTCCACAATTTCTCAAAGTCGCCGCAACCAAATACGAACTTCAAACGTTCGTAACTTTCTCGGTTGTGCTTCGATCGCGACGCTTCTTGGTTCGACAAAAAGCTCTTGAGCAGAGAAGTCATTTGAGATATTTGCTAGACAAAATAAAATTCATACATACACACAATCATTAAGTCCAAGCAGCACCTAACACAAATTCTTGCACACGCTCACACCACGCATGCAATGTAGAACATTCACTGCCCAAGGGTAACAATTGAGCTGACGGAACACTCCTGCCCCAGGTCTCGCCAAACAGAATTTTGTCACATTATGTGGTTAACCTGACGAATTTTGTTGGGGCTAGGTGCGGCCCAGGTTCGACACCGCGCGACACACGCAGCCCTACTTTGGCCACTTTCCTACTATTGTTCGGCCCGAGTTTGATCTTTGCCCCATGAGCAACTGTTGTTTTGAACAGCAGCCAATCAGAACCACCGAAACAGGTGGTGATGCGAGATTGCTCGCTTCACTCAACTCATATTTTCCGCGTGAAACGCAGGAATCACAACAACAGAAACTATCGCACCATGAACAACTGTCGACTCACCATATCAGCTCGCTTTAAAACAAAAAGTCAAGCTTGTTCTTTGAACACTACCAGCCGCTCCTATTGGTCGAGATCAGCCTTGTTTTCACCTCAATTGTACCAGACTCGCTGCTCGATTCAGCTGCAGTTAAAAAACCTGACTCATAACCTTAAATCGGTAGACTGAATAACAGAAAGTATTTCTGTAATTGGCAAAATCTTCACCAAGGCCCTCCTGCCTGGTGACCACTACTCTCTTTTAGGAGCAGAGTTTAAACAAGTCCTCGTTTGTTGTAAAATTGGTTCTTGTTTCTTGCTCTGTTTGTTTTGTTGTTTTTTTGTGGTTCTTATACATAATAATCCTCGAAGTAGCCTTGTGGTCATTTGACTCAGATGTTGGCTGGTTATACCACCCTTAGTTGTTGGTCGTCTTGCTTGTGTGATGCCCCTCATCTAGCCTATGGAGACGTGTCAGATTAATAATGTGTTTATGTTAGGCAACATTGATTTTCTCATTTATGAGTACAACACGCTTAAGGTTTGCTATTAATATCACCCTTCTAATAGTCAAAGGCTGAAGATGAGCACACTAAGTAAGTGTTAAGTCATTGTTGATAATAGAAAGGCATTAAATGAGATTATATACTGTACAGAAAGTACCTGTTTGGTGGTGTGAACAGTGATGAGCCTATTTGTCACTATTAAGGGTTGCAACTATTTGCGTGACTAGACGGTACGCTGACGTTACTGCGTTGCCTCTTGTTCATGAAGATGTTGACTAAATGTAATGCAATTTTTTTATGGTTGGTGTAGTCGTAAACATTGTAAGAAGTGTCTAGATAAATTTGCTATGTGAAGTATTTATGTTGTAATGCGATCTCCCTTGTCTAGGATGAGCTTGACTCTATGATCAGCCTCAATGATATGTCGATGTGTTTCACGGAGCGTTGACAAATTGTAACTATTTGTAGCATCCCTATTTGCAGCAAACCGCTCGTACACAAAAATATGGTGGTGACACCGAGGTCCTGAAGGTGAGTGACACCCACCAAGTTCTTGAAGAACGAGAGGATGTGCAGACCTGTGAGGGACCTAGGGGGAACGCAATGATGCTACGAGAAACGACTGGACCTGAGGAGGGGTCAACTAAATTGACCGTGACTGGTGTCGGAGAGGGGTGAGGCTGGTGTGGTCGTGGAAGGAACACCGAGACGCGCTAGGGAATGATGTGTCAGCAGAGGTCGCACCTGCGGAAGCATCAGTAGAGGATAGTACAGTGGAGGCATCTAGAGATCGTAGTCTAGGAACACACTGATAATAAGAAATGCAATACTATAGTCACCTACATCACATCTCTAGAATACAAAGCAGCATGAATAGCAGACGTATCCATAGTGAACACATGCATACCATGCCGAAGCATTGCCAACCAGTCCGGGACCTCCACAGTAGGCCCAAAGTGCTGGCGGTAAAGGTCAGAGAGGTGGCCAAAGCACTGCTCAAAAGAGTGATGACGCCCACAGATGCGAACCCTGTATGTACCAGACTGAAGTACGTACATGTAGGGCCCACAGTCACGGACAGTGCTCAAGGGGCGGACAGAAACCCACTACTTCTGTGGGACCCACGACCAGTGAAACTGTTGCTGCTGCTGAAATTGCATCTGCTGCAGCTGCTGCGGCTGCTGTGTCAACGCATCCATCGATTCCGCCATTTGTACGACTCTATTGAAGCTCCGCAGTCATGAGCGACGCACCTTGTACTGTATCTCGTTCTTGAGGCCAGTGACGTACTTGTCAACCACTCCACCTCGCCCATATCATCCACCTGGTCCAATGTCAACTGCTTCCACATACGCAGCTTCATGAGGGGCGAATCCGAGTCGGATATGTGCTCACAGGGTGGCGCCCCACTCTTTCCATGTACATATTTTGGCCACTCCAAAGGTTGAAGCTTTTCGTTGCTTGACACGTGTCGAGACCACGTCGTTTGTGTCAACGGGAGTTGTGTTTGGCCCCGTCCTCGCTTGGGCGGAGCCGATCTCGTGGTCGGGTGTGCGGGGGATGCAGCCGACCTGCAGCAGTGGGTACGGGGGCCACTGCAAGGGCGTTGAGCTGGGGGGCGCCTGGCTGGAGGGCGCCGAACAGGTGGGCGGCGTCCTGGGCGTTTGCTCGGCATCCCGGGTGCCTGGACGCCAACCTGGGCACCTAGACGGCGTCCTGGGCGAGTGGACGCCAACCTGGACGCCAGGACGCCAACCCTGGTGCGGAGAGTCACTCTACAACGGTAGTGAGCTAGACTACGGGGTTGGCACGAACTACTAGGAGTGATCGTAGCTTTGCTTGGTTCCTTAACACTTACACACTCACGGGAGAAATTGGCAAGAGTTTCCACTAGCAAAGATTGAGAATACAGAATGATTCAACAAGCAATAACAGAATTGACTACATCAGGCACCTAGCAACTCTGCAACTAGCCTAGTCGACCGCCAGCACTGCATGGTCGACCGCGTGCCAGCGTTGCGTAGAGGAGCCGCGCCAGCACTGCAGAAGAGCGACCTGCCAACATTGCAGGTCGACGGCGTGCCAACGCTGCAGCAGTGCGGCTGTCCAGCGTTGCTCCGTA